AAATTCAAAGCAAATAGAAGAATTTTTGACTACAACTCTATGAACAAAGAAGCTTGGGAAGAGTTCACAAACCAAGTCAATTATAATCTTAACCAAAACAATACTTCTCTCACATTCAATACTACTAATTCTCTGGAAACACATTGGCATAAAATTCAAATAGGTATTATCTCTGCTACTCTTAAGACAATACCAAACAAAAAGCTCAAATTCAGGAACTTTCATTACACTAATTTACAAAAAGCTACACAACTTCATCAAAATCTAAAACTATTAGAACAGATTATCCGACAGGTTAAATACGTACTTAATAACAACTCTTCAATTTTAGCTAATATCCCACCCTTAATTAACCAAATCAACCAACAACAAAACCTAAATATTGAAAACCTTCCTAATGATAACAACCAAATTCCAACATGACTAAACTATATACAAATATATTAGAAAACTCTTTATAAAGCTCAAGAAACAGAAAACTCAACACATATTCGACAACAAATAAATGAAACAACCAAAAAAAGATGTTTAGTACTCTAAACATAACTAACAAAAATGATCAATAGTATTCTTAATAGACATACTGATCACATCTTCTTTCAAAATTTTAAAACTGACACAAAACTAACAACTGATTCTATACTTATTAAAGAACAAGTCAAAAATCATTTTGACAAATAGACTGAACACAGGTTTATTGATCAACAAATCTTTAATACAACTTGGAAAAACTGCTATAAACCAATTTCTTCAATTAACTCTTCTCACTATGACAATTAAGGTTGCCTGCTATAATAGGTTTAGTGAAGTTGGAAAGTTGCAACCTTTTATTCTAAAGTTGTAATTTTTGCTGTAATGGGTATAATGGTCGTAATGGGTAAAATAGTCATAAAGGTGTAAATTGTTGTAATGGGTATAATTGTTGTAATAGATGTAATGGTTGTAATTGACTAAAAATAAATTAATGGCTTTAGGGCTGTAATAACGCAAGTAACATACCAAATTAATAATCATATTATTGTACAATCCTTTATGTTGTTACTATTGTATGAGAGTATAGTACTGTAATATTTAATAGTAATGCAAGTGACTTTATTAAATATAATAATAAGGTTATTGTGATCATTAGAACTTGGATAAAGAGAAACAAGTTAGTAATCAGTATTTTGCATATTATCGTTATCATTATATTACATATTTGGTTAAGAGTGAAACAATATATCTAATTTGGAAAATAGATTTAGCATTACATATATAGATAAATATTTGATAGCTTTAAAGTAGCAAATGGCACATTAATGTGGCCAAAATAAAACTGGTATATAGCTAAATAATTATGCATGTACATACGTACATATTCTGGTTGATAATGGGAAAGCAAAAATAGGATTATAAAACAATATAGAGGATATAAAAAGTAGTTACAAAACAGAATTGGATCGATCTAATTTATCACATGGACCACATGTTCACTGGAAGAATTTATAGTTCGATCAAACAATTAATCAATGACACTGAAGTTATAATATTTTAAGTGATGCATAAAGTATAAAGTATGTGGTAAATAAAAGAAAGTATAAATTATTGAGTGATTTATGATGTAATTAATTAAGTTAAAATTTAATAAAAATATGAAGAAAATAAATAGGCTAGTCATCTTTTGCTCAATTGAAAAATAGAAATAAATCAAAAACTTTACCTTCATATTGGGACGATGGTACTAGATATTTCATAGGATTTTCGAGTAAAGTGTTAGTAGATAACCAGAGGTAGCTCTTTAATCTAACATTATTTAAATAAGTAAAGTATACTTGTCTATATGTACAGTATTCACAAATTAATTTCTTATAAGTATATTACATAACTACGATACTGATCTTAATAAAACAATAATAAAAGATCAGGTGAATATTCAAAGTACTGTAAAAAAGTATCGATTCAAGAGGAGGGTCAGATAAAATGTTTCTTTGCAAGTTCAGATTTTTTTTAAATAAATCTGTAAAATTTATGATTCACTTGAGAAATGATTTTTCAAAATTTAATTAATAGATATTGTTTAATGAGTAGTTTAAAAGAATTTACATATTTATTCATACATATTAAGAACTATAGTATTAAATTTTCTTTTGCCTATACTGTATTTAATTTGAACTATAATCTAATTGTGCGGCAACAATTTCATCAACATCATATTCGATCTCTTGTATATCATTATCATCAGACTCAATTTCACTAAATTCTCTACTTTCATAACTATTTTTAGATGTAAAAACCGAAGATTAAAGATCAATAAAATTTGAAATACTTAAATCTAAGTCTTGTTCATCTGAATAAAGGTTTTCAGTAGGACTAGATATTTCTATATCCTCATCTTCCTCTATTAATATTTCCTCAAATTCTTTAAACACAGTTTCTACAATATTTTCTATTATATCAGAAGTTATTTCTGTAGTTTGAGTATGACGAAGTTGTTCCACTGGGTTTGATAAATAGAATCGATAAACTTTAGCTAATCCTTCTAGTTTATCTATGTTTAATTGAGTTCAATGTTTTCTATAAATCTATCCTAATAACAAGAACATCTGTTCACAAATAGCAGAACTTGGCATAACAGAAAAAAGTTTAATTGCCAAACATTGTAAATAGTTAGATTTAGCTTCACAAGTATTCCACTACATTAGTAGTATATCATTACCAATTGAATAGGAGGCAGTGTAAGGATTTGGATTTTCATCTGTATTTACTTGCTCTTTATATAATCACAATTGCATTATTAAAGCCTCACAACTCTCTCTTGATTTACTTATTTGTTGCCATAATCTTCTAGCATAACTTGCAATTAAAGGAAATGTACCAAATTTTAATCTAATTCCTATGTACAAATTAAAATTATACTATAAATAACTCTAGAAATCATATATATAATACAGTACATTTGTGTAATTATAAGTATTGACTAGTACGTTATTTACTTTTTTTTTAATATTTTTTATTGTAAAGTTATATAAATAACATCTAACCAATCTTCGAATAAGAAGATT